ATACCTCCTAATCAGTTAGCTCTCCTACTACATGGAGACACCTTATCCATTCCTTATCTTCATTGTAGAGATTGATTTTTTTTCTGGGGGGTACATAAAATGTTCTACTTAGATATCTATGTTATTATTTTTCTAATGTTATTAAAAGTACTATCTAGCTTCTTTGGCAGGGTTTGGAGCATTTTTAGTATGCTTTTGGGCTTATCTCCAATCCTACTAAGAGTAATTTTTACTGTTCTAAATAGATCACTATTGCTAAAATGAATTGGATTCGGGATTTATTTAGATAAGCTAAAGGAGACTTTCCTATGGTATATCAGGGTTTCAATCTTGATTAAGGCCATCCTAAAATGCATTTGTTTGAGAATATTATTAATAAGATTAGGAAGAGGATTATGTCTTTGGATAATCTTCTTCTTTCTTATAGTGGTAAGGTGATGTTACTTAAAAATGTCCTTACTTCTATTCCTTTATTTACCTTATGTTTTATTAATATGCCTTATTCTATTTGTATGAAGCTAAAAGGTATTTTTAACAATTTTTTGTAGGCTGGTAAGGATATTTCCGTAAGGGTAAGTCCCTTTGGGTTAAGATGTTGCATTTGAAATATTGTAAAGATGTGCATCCTTTGGTTTTTGATAGTAAAACACAGGATTCTTTTGTTTGGAAAAGTATGCTTAAGGTGGCTAATTGTACTAAATCTTTTATTTATTGGGATCTTGGTGCAGGCAAGTGTACTTTTTGGTATGATAATTGGATTTGTTTGGGTCCTTTAGCTGATAGCTATGGAGGACCTTTTGATGTTAATTTACAGGTACAGAAGATATGGAATAGTAATGTTTGGAATATTAATAAGCTTGCTAACCTTGTTAATAGTGAGGATTTGGCTAGTATAGCTAAAGTTCCTATTAGTTAGGGTCCTGATAAAATCAAGCTTAATGTTAGGTTGGGTTGGTCTGCTACTAGGATTTTCTCTACGACTCTTAATACTTCCCAAGGAATGGATTTAAGGTGGATTTGGAATGATTTGATTGAACCTACTTAATCTTTTTTTCTATGTGGTGCCTTTTACATAAAATTCTATATACTGATAATAATTTAAAGCTTAGAGGTTTTAAGATTTCCTTCTATTTGTTATTTCTGTAAGATGCATGTTGAAACGTTGGAACATATTTTTTGTACTTGCTTTTACGTTACTGATTTATGGAAGAGGGTGTTTACACTCTTTGAGTATGCTAGTAATTGTAATCATAGCAGTTATATTACTAAATTGATTGTGGTTTGGCAAAAGGATGGGTCGAAGCTTTATAGGTCTGTTCCTATTATAATTTTTTGGTTTATTTGTTGTGCTTGAAACAATTGTAAGCATGATGGCCAAGTTTTTTTCTAGTTCAATTTGTTTTCATTCTATCAAAAGTTGTGTTCATAAAATGTTGAAATATGAGAACTTTAAGCCTTCTTGTAATACTAGTGCTAAGCATATGTTGCTGAATTTTCATATTGATTTACCGAGAAAAATAAAGCTGATATTATTTAAGTTCATTGGGCTGCTCCTATTAATGGATTTATTAAGCTCAATATAGATGGTAGTGGGAGTAAATTTGTTGCAGGTATTGGTGTTATTTGTCGAGACTCTTCTGGTAAGGCTAGTGTGTGGTTTTCTGCACTTGTTGTTGCTTCAAGTGTTATTGAAGCTGAAGTTGAGGCTGTGATTATGGGACTGGAATTGGCTTTAAAATGTGGTTGGAAAAATTTAGAAGTTGAAATGGATTCTTTTGATCTTTGGTCATTTTGTTGTAGAAATAAAGATTATCTTAGAATCTTATAATTCAATTGAATAGAGTTTTTGCTCTGACGTTGGTATGCAGGTTCGTTGGCTTTTCATTCATCGTGAAGGAAATATATGTGCTGATTGGGCTACTAAGCAAGGGATGCTGACTCAAAGAGTTATTTTTTCTAATAAATTTTTGAAGATTCTTAAGTGTTTTATTGCAGGTGATATGATGGATTCCCCTTATATTTGTATTTTTTCTTGATTTTTGTTTTAGTTATTTTGGGTGTAGTGTGAGTTGTTCTTTTATTTTTGTGGATTATGAACCTTTTTTATTTTGTGTAAGTTGTATAGGGTTTAGGTTGGGTTCCTTTTCCAGTCTTTGTATTTTTTGTTATTTTTTTTATAAGTTGGAGTTGTTTAGTGCTCTTTATTAAAAAATTAAAAATAAAAAAATAAGAAAAAATCAAACGAAGTCAACCTAGGTAAATCTTATTAAATTTTAGTCGATTTAGACAAGTTCAAAGATAATCCAAGGGGCAATCAGCCTACTAAGGTTAACTTAGATTACCAGGAGACACATCTTTAGATTAGTTCAACCCAACTTGAACTAATCTAAAATAAATCTAAACTTAGGTGATTGGAGGTTAATCAGCGTTTGACTTCTCATACTAGAACAAACACACACTTAGCTTCAAACGAGGACAATTTGGACTAAAGTACCAAAACAACCTAAGTAAAATGTCCTAAAATTCATCCCAAAAGACATTAAAACTTAAACTTGAACAATAAGATGCAACTTGGGTTGAGAAGAGATTTTGGAGGAGGCAACCAATGGCTTCTAACAAATTACCTTCCAATCACTTGTTACTAACCAAACTGCAAACCCTAATGATCTTGGGATGATAGAACCATTAGATTTTTGTATGGTCATCCCAAACAATAAAAATAAAATAAAATGACAAAATAAAAAATTAATCAGCTATTAAATCTTAAGCAGTCTAAAATTTTTAACCCCCAAAATTTGAAAAAGTCATTAAAAATTAAATGTAACCCTAATGAATAAAGATCACCGAATGTAACTTGAACCTTAGATGCTCATGTCTACGAAGATTTCTTAGATGACTCAGCCTATGAATGTTGAAAGGAATCTTTCGATCCAAGTAGGTTTAACCACCTCTCAAACAAATTAGATCAGGATGGTGGAAAGGCTTGGGAATCTTAAACGGGTTGTCTAAAAAAATAAAATAACAACCAACAAATTAAACAAAAATTGTTTCATGCAAACTCTGTTTTGTAGGACTATTGAAGAAAAAATGTAGACGTCACCCTAGATTTACTTTGCATGTTATTATGGTGAGCTAACTCTATTTTATAGAGACAAACATTCAAAACTTGAAGCAAAATGATGAACCTCAATTATACCATCAACAAAAAAATAATACTCTAAGAAAGTTTGGAATCTTTGGAATTTTGTTACTCTTAGGATAGGACTTCAACATTCCTTTCCTTGATAATGACATTTGAACTTTCTGAGAAAATAACCTTGACTTATCATGCTATTAACAATGGGGACTTGTCATTATAGGGGGATGTGAACTCTAGAATAGGTACATCAATCAAAATTCTCTGAAAGTTAGCTTTCATAAGGTTTCTTTAGAAATTTATTACTCTGTATTTATATTGTACTGAGGTGATCTCACTTTAGAGTTATGCTTTGGAACTATCAATGCAAAAATTCACTTTACGAAGGCTACTCGTATACTTCATTTGTTTATTCCCACTATTGCCTACCACAATCCTCTGATTTTTCACCTCTTATCACATTCATGAATTGAGATGGAGAATTACTCAGAGAAAATGGCAACATAACAGAATACAAACGGAGACTCCTCAACAACAACAACAAAGATATCAAGAAAATGATGAAATGAAAATTGGCGACTGATACACCAAAATAATGTGTTATTTTAAGTATGCATTTTATGCTTATTTTTGAATATATTGCACTTTAAAAAATGTTATTTTCATATTTTTATTGCAGGTTTATTAATTTTAGGCATTTGGAGCAAAAGTAGCAAAAAGGGGGAAATTTGGAGCTAAAATAAACAACTTTGTGATTTTGGCAGTTGAGGCGCCAGATTGGAGCCTAAAGCGCCATTTTCTAAAGAGCTAGCACTTGAAGTGGCAAAACTGGTGTTTGAAGCACCATTATACAAATAAGCCAGCCTGAAGCGCCAGAACTCAAGACAGCATGAATTTAAGTAAATTGGCGCCTGAAGCACTAGAGATGATACTTGATGGATTAAGGCAGTTTGGGATGAATTTTGAGCAGATTATGAAGCCTTCAAATGCTTTAAATGCCCCAAAGACTGATTTAATGCATCTGGACACTTTGGAAGTTTCTCTAATGAAAGGATATGTCTCTTGAATGAATGGACATGTCTTTTGGGATTCAAAAGGTATGACATTTGGAGAGAATTTTTTAGGGAACATTGAATTCCATTTAAGGGGAGGTAGCCACTAATTAAAAGGAGAGGAGTCTAGGGCTAAAGAGAGGTTCAGTATATAAGAGAGAGAGACTGAGGGACTTAGAAATTTTTTTCTAAGGTTGTAAGAGAAGAGGGAAAGTGAGAGATTTCTTCTTCATTACATTCCTAAGAGAGAATTTAGAGTGCTTATAAAGAGGGAAAGTGCTTAAAAATAAATTCTAGGGATTTGCTTGGGAAGGAGTGAGAGATAAGTTGCGTCTTTTACTTCTTTGTTTTGTAAACTTGTTTTTATATATGAAATTTGTGTTTTCTTATTTCCTTCTCATGAATTTTGAGCACTCTTATTTTTCCTTTTCCCTACTCTGAGATATGGTTTTGTGAAGAATTTATTTTATTTTATACAGTTTTAAAAATCAATAATTTATGATGATTTAAACTTTGATATTCATTTACTTTTTTATCTTGCCAATTGAAATCTTAAAATATTTTGAGAAACATATGATCTGAAAGGGCTATGATCTCTACAGCATGGGAAGAGTCACATTCAATTCATGTTATCCATGAGGTTGAGTGCAAATAAATATAGAAACATACTTTGTTGGATGCAAATTGGAGTTTTTAAGGTGACAAATTAAAATCCCCGATTTGGACCAGTTAATTGGAAACTAATGCGATATTGTTAGCCCTCAGTCAAGGGAGAAGTGGGAACTCTGGAGTGATAGTTGATATCCTCCTTCATGCACTCCAAGTATTGCAGAACTGATCATCCTAACCAGGTGAGGGCCAAACTGGGAGACTCTATGACCTGGAAACAGATGCTGAAAATGAAGGAACAAGATGAAAATCTCTACACTTGGGAGTTGGGTCAATGTAACATCAACTTTTGGCAGGACAAATGGTGCCCAGAGAACACTATTGAACCTTTGGATGAGAATTTGGACAAGAACTTAATGGTGAAGGATTACTGGGAGGGGCAAAAGTGGTCTCAGGAAGTACTCCAAAAGGTTGTCACAGAAAACTCCATGAGGCAGAAATCTAAAATCCAATTTGACAGAAATAATAAGGATAGGATGATTATAAAAGTTAACTCAACCCAAAGTGTGACCCAAGCTATTTACAATCAGCTGTTCACCTGGGAGGAAACCTCTTGGGGTGAAAATTTGTGGAACAAATTCCTATCCCCCTCTATGGATTTCTTCTCTTGGATAGTGTTGAATAACTTAATCCCTACTGATGATATTCTCATGTTAAAGAGCTTGAAGGAGCCTTCAAAATGCTATCTCTACCAGAACAGTGATGAGACAGCTACTCATCTTTTTTTCCAGTGTGACTTCTCAAGGAAGGTTTGGGGATCCCTGACAATTAATTTCCACATCAACACTATCAACTTGGGATGGGAATAACTTAAGAACTACTGATCAGGCTGGAAAAAAGTTAAACTATGTACAATCCCTTTCATCATAGCCTGGTTCATTTGGAAAGCAAGGAACAAAAACAAGCATGAAGAGCATAAGGTGAATACTACAACAGTGGAGGCAAATTGTCTTGTTTATATCAAAAAGCTGATCATTTGGAAGGGGTTTCCAAACATCATTAAGATGAACCATAGCAAGGATCAGATTTGCAGTAAAGTCATTAAAGTCTACTGGAAAAAAACCCAGTTATCCTCACCTTAAAGTTAACACTGATGGAAGTTTTACAGCCCACACACCAGGAATTGGAGGGGTATTCAGAGATTACAAAGGCAAATGCATAATGTTCTTCAAAGCACCAATTATTGTTGAAGATTCCTTGGAAGCTGAGACAGCTGCTCTTTACTGGGCCATCAAAATGGCAGTCATAAACAAATGGACACAAATTCAAGCTGAGGTTGATTCCTCTATGTTGATTGAGTATGTGATAGGTATTGTTGTACTCCATGGCATATCCAATAGTGGATTATTAAGATAAAACATCTCACCAAGGAGATACAAATCAATTATTGTTTTACCAATAGGGAGGGAAATAAAGCAGCTAACTACCTAGCTATTGAAGGTGTTGAATCCCAAAGAGTAACTGTTGCTACTAATCCGACACAAATACTGGCTGACCTGTTAAAGGGTGAAAAATTATGAATACCTTACCTCTGAATTCCTAGGAGCTAGATGCTTTATTTACTTTCTTTTTTTTAGACATGCCTTGTATTTTCTTAATTACCTCACATTTTGATGTAACCTTTACTCTCTCTTCTCCCTGCTGTAACATTCTCTGGATGTATTGATCGTATTTAAGTAATTAACACAGAGGGAGACAAAAGAGGTTCCTTTTTTGCATATATATATATATATATATATATA